CTGACCTCAGTAAGACCTAGTACATGCTCATTGCCTTGGCCTAGAAATAGAACACTGGCATCCAAGGTCATAATTCATCACTCCGATATGGCCCCTCCCCTACTCAAGGCTTTCCGGTTTCCCTCTTCAGGGTGGACTCCTTCCGAGCAGGTGCAGAGGGCCGAGGTCGCAGTGCCTTTCCCCGCCGCCGCCCCACTCATTACACAGTGACGGTGCCAGACTCCTGCTTCACACCCAGCAAGCCCCCGCTGCCACACCCTGCCTGCCATTCCTGCTCTGAAGACAGCGGCTCTGATGTCTCCAGCATCTCCCATCCCACCTCACCGGGCAGCAGCAGTCCAGACATCTCTTTTCTACGGCCTCTCTGTCCCCCTGAGCCACCTCGCCACCGTGGGGTCTGGGGCCCAGCCTGTGGCAGAGAGCTGACTACTCATTACCCTAAATTTCTGCTGCCTGCTGGGTACTTCCCAACGGGGCGCTATGTGATGGTGGCCGAGGGCCACCTGCCTCCAGGCGAGTGGGAGCTGTGTCGTGCAGCCGTGGGTACTGCCTATGACGAGGAAGGTGCACCTCTGCGTTACCAGAGGCTGGTGCCCTCCCACAGCCGCATTGTGCGCACACCTTCACTAAAGGACAGTCCTGCGGGCCGGGGACTCAGCAAGGCAGCAGTCTCAGAGGAGCTCAAGTGGTGGCATGAGCGAGCGCGTCTCCGGAGCAGCCGCCCCCACTCGCTGGACCGCCAAGGGGCTTTCCGTGTTAGGAGTCTGCCTCCTGGGAGGGAGAGCTTCGGGCGGCCCTCGGGACCTCGGACACAGGTACAGCTTCCTCTACGGGGAGGAAATTAGACTAGCAGACTGCTGGCTGAGTAATCACCAGTTAGGAAAATTAGACCAAAAAGAGGATATTTCCTCTTGGCTTTGGAAGGCACTTCTGACTTCCCTGGGGGTGTCTCTTAATTGTGTTGTGCTGTGTCTAGTGTCTAGTGCAAAAGTGCATACCAATGTGCCCTGGTAGAGATTGTCCATACAGATAGCTCGGAGATTTTCTCCTAATGGCTTCACAGATGATCCACAAGACAGATAAACTTCCTCAGAATCAAAATGTGCAACCCGAATTAACCCCTGGAATTTTGTAGCTCGAGGGCCCAGGGACAAAGGGCAAATCTGGAAAATGGGTGTATAGAAAACAACTCCCTGTAGCCAGGCTGGGAAGGAGATGGTCTCACAGTTACACAGCTAGAGTACCAGATTCTGATCCTAGCCCTGCTTAAACTCCATGGCTCCTTGGGTGACTTAACTCTTAGGCTTCTGTTTCCCCTTCTAAAAGACAGGCATAGTAAATGACCCCTCTCATGGGGTGGATAAGAGGCTGAAATGGTTAAAGCAATGTATGAGAGTACTAGATCCAGCAATAGCTCTGTCACCGGGGTTCCCAGAGGGTGTGGTGTGTGTGTGTGTGTGTGTGTGTGTGTGTGTTAGGTTGTATCGGAAGTAAGTAGGATTCGGAACACTCTGACTTCGGGTAGGGGGTGCAGCCTTCGTTTCTGTAAGCCCCATTTCTTCATGCTGGGACTGAGGCTCGCCGGCATGAATCCTTTCTTTATTCTCTCATCCTGATTCAGAAGGCTATGCAGGGGACACGCTCTAGAAGTTACCAACAGGCCGCTTCTTTGAGACCCCAGATTCCCAGCAGCCCAGCTGCATCATCCCCCGCCCCCCGATTCTTTGGGCTGCTGCAGCTGCCATCCCTGGCTGGGCAGCACCCTGGCCCGGTCCCAGGCTATACACCCTCTAGCTGGCGTGCCTTTCCCTTCCTGCGAGCTGAGACCTGTCTTTGGTCTAGGTTTGGCTCATCCCAACCTGTCTGACAGGGACGGTGATGAGACATGAGTCCAGGAAAGGTGGAGAAGGTCAGGATGCCCATCACACCCCAAAGAGCCTAGATCAGGAGTGGTACCTGGGGGCATCATCCCTGGGAAGGGCAGAAGCAGAGCATCGGGCCTTCACTATTGGTGGTCTGTGCCTTTAAGCAAAGAGAACGGTATGACTGAGTTTGCTGTGCTGACATTTCTACCCAGTTTGCTCACCCGCCTCTCCTTTCTTCCTGCCTGGGACAGGTGCCCCCAGTGTGCGTACTCCGGAGGTCGCCAGACGGAGCACCAGTGCAAGTCTTTGTGCCTGAGAATGGAGAGATCATCAGCCAAGTGTAACTCCTCTGAAAGCTCACCCAGTGCTGGAAAAGACTTTTATACTGGAGCTGGGGTCGAGCGAGGACCCCCCTCACCCTTAAGTGCTTCTTTTGGCTCTCCGACCCTCATCGCAGGCCGATGACGCAGAGCTGAAATCTTTGTTTTTTACGTGTGTTTTCCAGAAGTCTTGACCTGAGAATTTATATCTGTGATTTGTCTTCAAGGTCCTTTAATAACATGACTATGCATTATCCCCCAGAGTCTGGCCTTTTGGACTAATGTCGTGCTGGACTAATCAACAGCACTTGTCTCCTTATGCAAGACAGGTGTCATAGAGGCCCCTTGAGACTCCCCAGATGCTCTGGGCCCTCTTTCTGAGATAGCTGTTGCTTCTCATTGCTGGAGGCCGGATGTGGTACTCCCTCAACAGAGACCCTTCCCTTGTTTCCCAGATGCTGGACAGAGCTCTCCTCTCCCCTTATGTGCTCTATGACGCACACCCAGGGCACAGGGCGTTTCTGTCACGGTGTTCTTCCCACACCCTACAGTAGTCCCACCTCCACTTGCCATACTGTGTGGCTTCTGAGCCCCTTCCCCAGTGTATAGATCCTCCTCCCCCCTCCATCCCAGTGTATTCTCTCGATCCCTAAGTGCCTTAGATCCTGAGTCACAGACCTGGGAGACTTCCGAGCACCAGTGCCTCCCCACACCTGAGCATCCTTCACAGTCTTACCTAACAGCTATCTCGTGTGGTTGCACAGTGGCGGTGCCCTCAGGTGCAGGGCTGCGACTGTGCAACACTGTGCCAAATACTTCAATAAAATCTGATTGGCCCAGCTGGGATGAAGGATTCTGTGCGTGTGCTTTTTTTTTTTTTTTTTTTTTTTAAACAACCACAGTGTGGACTCCTTGAGATGTCTGCCTGACCTTTCCAACTGGTCTGGCCATGACTCTAGGGAGCAAGCAGGGTGGCAGATAGAAGCTCAAGCTGCTTCTCTGACCAAGCGGAGTTCAGCAAAGCTGTTAAACATGCTGGCTGCTCTTCTGGAAAGCCCAGATTCCATTCCCAGCAGCCTCATGGTCGCTCATGGTTACTCCAGTTCCAGTTTCAGTGCTTTGTGTCAGCTTCATATCTGGCTTCAGATGGCCCAGGCCAAGCAGTATTTTGAGGCTTATGAGAAACTGTTCTTGTGACTGGAGAAACAGGCTTTCCTTGGGTAAGGAGGGTCTATCCATAAGACCCCTTCTATGTTTTTACAGTGGATCTCTCCATGAGAATGTGGGAGGGGGTGCGGGGCGGGGGGGGGGGAGACCTGCAACTTTTACTGCTGCCCTGTAGGGGGTGCTCAGGACGTGGGAGCAGAGCGACTGCTATGGCTAGTTTCTGGAGAGCTGTGGTGTGAGTCTGAGGTAGCCCTGTGTCAGGCAGAGAAAGGGGTCTCTGTTTTGCCTGTCCCTCTCCACAGTCAAGGAAGAGGTAGGTCACAAAGGGTCAGGCAGATGGCTATGCAGGGGTGACTCCAGTCCTGCACTTGGTGGCCAGCCCTAGAGACTAGGAATCTGGCCTTGAAGGGCCTGGCTTTATTAGGTAGGGGGTTGTTCCACACTAGGGGTTGGGTGGGAAGGGAAGATAGTTCCAGAGCCTCTAGAGAAGCTGTGGGCATCTTTATCTCAAACCTGAACATCAATTTAACTATTAGCTGTGGCCAGTAAGAACTTGACTTGGGATTTAACTTATTTTATGGTGAGTTTGAACTTTATTTTTTTTCTGTATTGGGGATGGAACCCAGGGTTTCATACATGTTAGGCAAGTATTTAGTTTTGTATTTTAGCCACTTGTTAACTGTTAGGCCCAAGGAAATACATTTTAGGGTTTGTTTTTTGGTTTTGTGTGTGTGTGTGTGTGTGTGTGTGTGTGTGTGTGTGTGTATGGGAGCACCATGTGTGCAGTGCCCACTTTGGCTAGAAGAGGGCATCAGATTCCCTGGAACTGGAGTTACCATGAGGACTTTTAACAGTTGAGCCATCTCTGCAGCTACCACCCTCCAATTTCCAAGAAACTTGACCCAATATCAGAGGGTTCTGCTATGATAATATGCCTAGGTGGCGAAGCAGGTTGAAGTGTGTATATGTATGAGTGTGGGGGGAGGGGTTTGTTAAGGAAAAAAAAGTGGGTCTAATGACGTTCTTGTAAGCAGCCAGGCATGAAATGTACCAGTGTGAGGAGCTGGTCGGCACGGATCCTTTCAGTTCCTTCCAGTGGCCATGTCTGGGAGGGGTAAGCGTGTGGAGCGCTTAGCCTCCCCTACTGAATGGCAGAAGGAACATCCCAGGGAACAGGGAAGAAGCCTCTCTGCTAAGAACAGCTTCAGGATTTGACCTTAAGACATCCAGAGCCATAGATAGAAACTTCCTTGGGAGCCAGTTTGAGTCTGAGATTGCCACAGAAGATCCTTGGCTGGTGCCTGCATGACCCATAAGGAATCAGGGTTCTTCAAGGGAGTTGTGCGCCTTCCCCGAACCAGGAGATAAAATGAGAAACTAGCAAACGGGACCTAGCATGGGCACTGGCCGGTCAGTTCTTGTGGTTCTGTTGTTTTCTGGACTCTGTCCTCACGGCATGGATAAATGCAGAGCTTCAGGACATGCTGAGCAAGTGTTCTGCCATCTCCAACCCTATCCTTGTAAACCATCAGGCTGCCTCCTGCAGCCTCCTTCTATATAAAACCTGCATCACTAAGAAGATCAGACTCTCACCAGGCCTGACTGCTGGTCTCATTGCAAACTGTTGGGTCCTGTCCTGAGTGTGCAGATGAATCCACACCTCCAGGAGAGAAGTCTGAGCAGAATAACGTTTCGGCCATCGATGAATGATGTCTTGTTAAAGCCAAGCTTATCAGGTAAGCAGTTTTCTCTAGGTCTGGGTATCACTCATCTTCCTGCAGCAATATGGAAGTGATGATGGCTCCCTGGCCTTTGCTGGAGATGTCACTCAAAGGGCACTCATCGGCTTACTTCTGGCTATCCCACCCACAACTCTAGTCTCTACAGGCCTGCTCCTTTTCCAGGCACATCTCCCTCAGAGGCCTGGAGTTGAGCTGGGCGCTGAGATATTGAAAGCTCACCTAGAGACAACTAGATGTTCAGGGGAGCCCTACATGTTCAGAGCTGATCTTTCCATACCACCTACAGGCCAACAACCTCTTAACCAATACTTGATTTTTAGACCAGAGGTGCCCAGATTTCAAGTTCTTATAGCCCTAATCTTTTAAAATTTAATTTCACTTTATTTCTTTACCACGTGTGTGCATACACATGTAGAGTGTGCATGCATGCCAAGGTATATGTGTGGAGGTCAGAGAACAACTTACAGGAGATGGATCTCTCCACCACGTGGGTCTAGAAGATTGAGCTTAGACTGTCAGACTTCTTGGCTAGCACGATTACCTGCTATGTTATTCAGTTGGCCTTCCCCCCTTTCCCTCTTCCTCTTCTTCCTCTTCTTCCATTTCCTCTCCCTCTTCCCTTTTCCCTCTTCCCTCTTCCCTCTTCCCTCTTCCCTCTTCCCTCTTCCCTCTTCCTCCTCCTCTTCTAGACAGAGTTTGGTTAAATTACTCAAGCTTGTGATCCTTCTGCCTCAACCTCCTGATTAGGATTACAGGGCTGTACCACCATGCCCCATCCCAAATCCTATTGATAACTGCACTTTGATGCCAGGTAGACATCTCAGAATCAACATGGCCCACGCTCCAAATGAATCTTGGCTATATTACCACCTTTAGATCCCCTGAGAAGCCTTCTAGCTTCTCAGACCAAACATTTAATTTCTATTTTCCTTGAGGCAGAGTCTTGCTATGTAGCCCCATGGCACTGGCTGGCTTGGAGTCCACTTTGTAGATCAAGCTGGCCTCACAGATACCCTGATTCTCTGCTGCAGCCGCACAGAACTAGAATTACAAGTGTGTGCCACCACTCTTTGATTTGATTTTCTTTGTTTTTGTATCTACTTTTACTGTTTGATGCATGATTTTACTATGTAACTCAGTCAGGCTCATAACTCAACTATATAACTCAGGGTGGCCTCAATTCCAAGACCCTCCTACCTCTGTCTCCCAAGTGCTTGGATTACAGGTGTGTACCACTATGCCTAATTATTTTTTGTTTAGTAGTTGTACCAGGGAATCAAACCAGGGGCTTTCAGCATGTTAAGCAAGTGCTGTACCACTGAGCTACACTCCTATCCCTAAAAACATTTTGACTTCTTTCTAGCTTTCAGATTTACATCTTCTCCATCATCTGTTTCTACTGATCATCAATATAGATAAGAGACATGACTACTTCCTGTTATCACCTCCCTCCAGGAAAGCTACCATTTGTCTCTCCAGGTTACTCTTTCAGTCTTTTAACTGATCCCCTCTTTTTAAAAAAGACAGGCTCTTCTTATGGAGTCCAGGCTGGCCCTGGACTCACTATTAGTTGAGGGTAACCTTGAACTCCTGGTCGTCTTGTCTCTACCTTCCAAATGCTAGGACTAAAGGTGTGCACTACTGCACTGGGTCTAGGGATGGGGTGTGGTTTAATTTACTAAGGATCTGTCTGCCTTTATTAGTTCATTGAACCCCACCATGTGGAGGTCTATCCTTGCCTACAGTATAGAGGTCTATCCTTGCCACCACATAGAGGTCTATCCTTGCCCACAGTGTGGAGGTCTATCCTTGCTACTGCACAGCTGAGGAAACTGAGAGCTTCATTTGCTGTATTCCACAGGGCTAGTGAATGGAAGGGCTACACTTTGGCTTCAAGCCCTGCCTGGAGCCTTGTGTCTGTAGGGACAACAGAGGCCTGCACTCAGGCCCATTATCTACTCTGTTTTGTGCCCCCCATCCCTCCCTTGCCATCGCTCTCATTCATCTGTCTTATCCTTTCTGGACTCAACTTGGGATAGTCAGGCTTTTTTTCCTAGCCTTCCCTCTTCACCTCTGTGTACTTCTCATTGCAGCAAGCCCTTACGACTACGCACATCTCCCCTTAGCTGACAAGAAAGGCTCCCAAGGCTGTCCTGAGACTCGAAGTCCCTTCACAATCAGGAATCTCAAAGCCAGTGTTGGACATTCCCAGAAATCTGTGGGACACTGAGAGTGACTTGAAGTCCTTTCTCTTCCCAATCATTCTCTCATCAGTGGCCGTGTCTGTTGCAGAAAGTGTCTTAAGTTCTCACCTGGATGCTTTCCATGTTGGCTTCCGTGTTGTCATGAGAAGTGCTGCAAATTCCCATGCTGCACCTCATCTGCTCAGTGAAGGGGGAAGGGAAGCTTCTTTTCCTAGCCCACCTGATAAAACCAGCTGATCTTCTCCAATGACACCCCCTTTCAGGATTGTGCCAATCAGAAAAAGAAGCCTATCAGTTAATTCTGGATTCTATGGAGCCAGGGCAGATGGTAAGGAAACTCTTTGAGACTCTTTGGGAACTAAGGAGCACAGCAGGAAAATCCAAAGGTCAATGTTTCCCTAGGCTCTAGTCCCGATGTCAGCTTCTCAGTAGCTCTTGATCTGGGGACATTTGGAGGCCAGGCCACTAGACAGGGTGGCAGTAACCCTCCTGTCTAAAGGATTTTCCTTGTAGACTCTTGACTCTACTATCCCCAGAAGGCTACCAAGGCTCAAGATAGCAGTGATGCATAGCACTGTCTAGTTGAGTTGAGAGTGGGCAGAGTGTGGGGTGCAGGTCTCAGGTCCTGCCCTGAGACTGGCTTTGTCTTCTGTCCCAGTCCCAATTAGACAAGCTCAGTTTCCTGAATGCTGTGGCAACGCTGAGCAGCGTTGTGCGTTACCAGGCAAATGGCAACATGAATAACTACTATCCTAAAACCCTTCTGGCCAAGAAAATTGAGGTAAGAAAGAACTTATATTAATCCTAGACCTGGGGTTAGTATCCCTCTGAGGTAAATTCTCATTTTTCCTGGTCTTTCTAGACATTCATCCTGGAAGAACCCACTGAGATCTTGGACAGTAGTGTGCGTCAGCAAGCCATGCTCTGCATCGTGGCCCTGAGGTTCCTCCCCCATGGACCCTTTCCTAGCCTCTGGGGGTCTGACCCTGAGAACATGGGGGTTGGGAGGACAGGCAAAGTCTGGGAATTTGACTGGAGGATAAAGGTGGCAGAGTCTACAGTTGCCAATTCATCTGCCTGCATCCTGGGATCAGGGGGACCTTTTGGAAATCTATTAGGAAGTCTAGTGTAAGACACCTCTCCCACCCTGAGAAGGAGTCACAGGAAAGTGGCCCACAGCTTTCTGTACTCAGACAGTAGTTTCTCCCCAGAGGGTTTGAAAATATCCCTCAGCCTCACATGGAATGCCTTACGTCCCTCGTTCACCACCCCTTTTCCTCCAAGTCAGGTGAAGCCATCTTTCCACTTATGCCAGAAGCTGGATCTGGTCAACGTTAGCATCACCAGCACGTTCTCCCTGCCTCTCATCATGCCCAGTCTAGATCGAAAGGAGAGCGCTAGTCTCTATCTCCAGGTAACCCCAATATGTGTCTTGCTGAAGATCTCCATGGGAATGAGTTTGTCTTGGGGACTACCTCCTGTTTGCTTGGCTTCCTGGCCTTCCTCCTGCTCTGACTCTTCCCTCAGGAGTCCAAGTCCCTCTGTCCTCCATTCTGCTGTCATTCTCAGCTTCCCAGGGATTGCTACACCCGTACCTTTTCTCCCTGGAGCTCACATGCCATCTATAATCTTAGATAGCCTAACAACAAAACCCATAGACTATAGGGAATAATTGTCGGAGGGACTGCCAAATTTTCCCAAGGATAGTTGGTTTTAAAATTGGGGCTGGGAGGGGCTGGAGAGCACTGACTGTTCTTCCAGTCCTGAATTCAATTCCCAGCAACCACATGGTGGCTTACAACCATCTGTAATGGGATCTGATGCCCTCTTCTGGTGTGTCTGAAGACATCGACAGTGTACTCATATACATAAAATAAATAAATCTTTTAAAAAAATAATAAATAGTTTATAAGTTTATTTTTTAAACATTCTAAGGGAATATTTTTAAGGGGCTGGGAATATACCTTGGTGGTAAAGCACTCGCTTAGTACCCAAGAGGCATTGGTTCCAAGAATTGTAAAAACAAAACACAGAAGTCTCCGTAAACTGGTAGCACAATTCTCTAATGCTGAGAATCCTGTGGAGGGGATGGAGGGAGTGTTGTCAGGAAGCTAAGCAAGCATGTGGCTGTCATCTTAGTGTGCACCCTATGTCTCCTCACTTCCAGACGATCCAGGCCTTGGATGACATGCTCCAAGCTCTTGTGATGGAAGACATGAGACCCAACATGGTTATACTGCAAAGCTTTGTGGAGGTAGGTGGCTGCAGAAGGCCACACTATTCCTGTACTTTATGCTAGGTAGGCAGGAAAGGTCTATGACAAGAGTCAGTGAGGATGCAGTCCCATGTCCCCTGAGGTGTTCTTAGGATGTTGTTTGGGTACCACAGTTGTCAGGACCCTTTTCCGTCTAGAACCCGGGCATGCTGCAGTGTTACACTCAAATCTTCTTAGTGTATTGTCACATGGTGTCACTGCTCTGCGATCTGATCAGTGCTCACCCCTCAGGCTACTCCTCTATTTCTTGAATATAGGAAACTCAAAGCATTACAAAGCCTATTTTCTTTAGTTGATTTAAAATATTCTTAGTTTTGACAAATTCTCAGTTCCTAAGAATAAATTTGAATTAGGAATATAGCTTAAGAGTCCCTTGAAAATAACATTCATGAGCAAAATGGTTATTGCCTGGGGTACGAAATTTTGCGCAAAATTCCTTATGAGTACAAATAAAGAGATAAGAGTGTCCAGGTATCTTGCAACCAGAGGGGACATTTATTTTATGAGTACAAATAAAGAGATAAGAGTGTCCAGGTATCTTGCAACCAGAGGGGACATTTATTCCTATGCAAGAGAGTGACACAGTGCTTTGGAATGTACTGGTGTGTGTTTGTTGAGAGGCATTCCCATGCTTTATAGACACCTCATTGTGAGTGCAATAACAAACCCTCTGTTATCTTCTGAGTTTGTGGGGGAAGGGAGGCACGGAGTGGGAGTCCTGTCAGGGTGAAGTCCTCAGGATTCATTACTAGGCTTCTTGTTCTCCAAAGATAAGTGGTGCCAGGCATAGTGTGTATGTCTATAAATACAACACTGAAATGCAGAAGCAGGAGGATTGCAATGAGTTTGAGGCCAGTCTGGGCTAGATAGGGAGATGTTGTCTTAAAATATATATTTAAATATAAAATATATACATATATTACATACATAATGTATATGTATAACAGAAAACAAAATAGCACCATGCAAAAGTTTTCAACCAGAGTTGGAGAAATGGCTCAGAGGTTAAGAGCACTGGCTGCTCCTCTAGAAGACTGGGGTTCAACTCCTAGCACCCACATGGCAGCTCACCACTGTCTGTAACTCCAGTTCCAGGGGATCCATGGCACCAGGCAGGGAAGTGGTGCACATACATGTGCAGGCAGGCAAAAATACCCATACGCATAAAATAATAAAATAAATAAATCTTCTTTAAAAAGTTTTCAACCTTTCATAGAAAATGGGTTATTTTTATTTTTATTATTTATTTCAAAATAGCTCTCTGAACTTTGTTTCTCTCTCTTTTTAATTGGAAACAGTTTCTTTTCTCATACAATATATCCTGATTATAGTTTTCCCTCCCTCTTCTCCTCTCAGATCCTTCCCACCTCCTCTCCCCTCTGATCCACACTCTTTCTGTCTCTCTTTAGAAAAGAACAGGCTTCTAAGAGATAACAACCAAACCTGACAAAATAAAATACAATAAGATGAAGCAAAATTTTCATATCAAAGTTGGATATGGCAACCCAACAGGAGAAAAAGAGTCCCAAGAGTAGGCAAGGGAGTCAGAGATACACTTGTTCACATAGTCAGGAGTCCCATAAAATGCTAAGCTGATAGCCACATGCTCAGAGGACCTGGTGCAGACCCATGCAGGCCCAGTGCTTGCTGCTTCTGTCTCTGTGAGCTCACATGTACCTTGCTTAGTTGGTTTAAATGGTCTTGTTCTCCTGGTGTCCTCCACTCCCCTTGATCTTACAGTCTTTCTGCCTCCTCTTCTGTGGGATTTCCTGAGGGGAGGGATTTGATGGAGACATCCCATTTAGACTCTCTCTATCCATAATGTCTGGCTGTGGCTCTGTATCTGTTCCCATCTGCTCTAGAGGAAGCCTGTTTGGTGATGGCTGGATAAGGCACTGACCTATGAGTACAGCAGGATATCATTAGGAATCATTTTATTAATTTGTTTTGTGTTACTGTTGTTGTTTTGGGCCAATCATGTTTAGTTTTATCCTAGGTCTTTGGAATATCTGGTCTTCTGTTCTTGGTTACCCAGTTGTGGGTATGGGTTCTTTTTCATGGAGTGGGTCTTAAGGCAAATTAAACATTGACTGGCTACTCCAACACATTCTGTGTTATCATTACCCTAGCATAATTTCCAGGCAAGACAGATTGTAGGTCAAAAGTTTTGTGGCTGGGTTGGTGTCCGTGTTTCTCTTTCAGTTGCTTGCAGAGTACCTTCCCACACCAAAGAGAGTAGGACATAGGGGTGAAGGCTCCATGTAGGCAACAGCTCAGCTTCTCCGAGTTCAATGAGTTATATGGATGTTGTCCTTGGCACTGGGGCCCCATTACCACTTTGTGGAGAGCTACCCTTTGTCAGCATCAGTCTGAGTTATTTGGAGATTTCAATGGGACCCCCTTGGCGAGCAACTCAACCACTGGGAGCCCTGCCTGGTATAAAAGGTGGCCGGTTGAGACTCTGTATTCCCATTACTAGGAGTCCTCATTAGGGTCACCTTCATAGATTCCAGGAATTTTTTTACTGTACTAGATTTCCACTCCACCCAACAAATTCCACACGTCTCTCTCCACACTCTCCATCTCATCTTTCCCACACCTGACTCTTCCTTCTCCTGTCTTCACCTGTTCTTAGTTCACCCATAAAATCTAGCTGGGTGGCGATGGTGCACACGTTTAATCCTGGCGCTGGGGAGGCTGGAGCAGGCAGATCTCTCAGTTTGAGGCCAACCTGGTCTATCAAGCAAATTCAGGACATCCAAGACTACAGAAAGAAATTCTGTCTTGAAAAAAAAAATCTATTCTATTTACCCTTCCCAGGGGAATCTATGAGTCCCATCCCCCCATCCTTCCTCTTTACCTATCCTCTGTAGGTCTATGGATTGTAATTTGGTTGTCATTTACTTAACAGATAATATCTACTGATAAGTGAATTCATACCGTATTTGTTTTTCTGAGTTTGGTTTACCTCACTCAGGATGATTTTTTTCTACTTCCATCTATTTGCCGGTGAATTCTATGATGTCATTTTTGTTAATAATGTTAATAATGCTTAGTGACGTTCCATTGTGTAAATGTACCACATTTTGTTTACCTATTCTTTGGTTGAGAGACACCTAGGTTGCTTCCAGTTTCTAGCTCTTGTGAATAAAGTTGCATTGAACATAGCTAAGCAAGTGTTCTTGTAATGGGATGGAGGCATCTTTTGGGTATATGCCCAGGAGTGGTTAGAAGGGTCTTGAGGTTGATCGATTCCCAATTTTCTGAGGAACTGCCATATTGATTTCCACAGTGGCTGTACAAGTTTATGCACTCCCAAGCAATGGAAGAGTGTCCCCCGTGCTCACCAACATGAGCTGTCACTTGTGTTATTTATCTTAGCCATTTTGATAGGTGTCAGATGGAATCTCAAAGTAGTTTTGATTTGCACTTCCCTGATGGCCAAGGATGCTGGACACTTCTTTAAATGTTTCTCATCCACTTTGAAATTGTTCTCCTGAGAATTCCACTTAGATCTATACCCTATTTTTTAATTATTTATTTATTTTATGTATATGAGTGCACTTGTAGCTATCTTCAGACATGCCAGAAGAGGGCATCAGATCCCATTACAGATGGTTGTGAGTCACCATGTGGTTGCTGGGAATTGAACTCAGGACCTCTGGAAGAGCAGTCAGTGCTCTTAACCGTTGAGCCATCTCTCCAGCCCTGCACTCTATTTTTTTTTAAATCAAATTGTAATTTTTACTTGTTCACACAGGGGTTATAAACACAAAAAGGCAGGACGTAGGGAAGGAGATGACACCGGAGCATGGGTGTTCAGGGGGAGTACAGATATCTTTTAGAACAGGATATCGGCTGGGTGAAGGTTAAGGGAACAGGTCACTATGACTCTGCCTATGATTCACTTGTCCTTATCTAAGTTGGTATTATCTGCCAAGGCTACCTATTTACTAGGTCTATGACTACTCAGGCTGGTAAATTTCCACAAAAGCTGCTTGTTAACAATAGCTTATAGCCATCTGTTTCAATGTTTTTCCACAGAGACCCAAGACTTGGTGTTAGTATACATGTATGACAGGCCTATTGCTGATTTTAGGCCTATGGCTGACTTTAGGCCTTCAGTGTACAAGCAGGGCTGCCCCTGACATCTCCTCCCTTCTATACTTAGAGAAGGGAG